CCCAACGAGTTTTATAACCGTGTTACCCGGAACGGTCGAATGAGGTGATTGAGGAATACAAGAAAGAGTACGAATTGCAGAAGACGCCAAAGGGTTAGTCACCGACCTACGGACTTTTATTTTGGGTGGTGGATCATAATACTTCGAAAAGATATTTCTGGAGAATCAGTACGAATAGAGTACGGGGACTCTGTTACGGGTTTTAGTGTGGTCCATCTGGATTTTTGGTTTTGGAGGATAAGAGGATTGTGATTTGGTGGATTTGGTGGATTTGGTGGATTTGGTGGATTTGGTGGATTTGGTGGATTTGGTGGATTTGGTGGATTTGGTGGATTTGGTGGATTTGGTGGATTTGGTGGATTTGGTGGGATTTGATGAAGAATTGGATGACAGGATAGGATTCAAGATACAAATTCCAACGCGTGAAGAGCTGCTCAGGACGTCAAGAACTCAACATCACTACCATTGTGAATTGAGGTGTAGCATCACTCACAGAGAAGAGATCTGATTGGGAGAACAGAACCCTAGAGACTGTTCCATCGTCCATCACTCAAAACGAACCTGAGGAGGATCTTTTCGGACCAAGGTGTGATAGGTAACAAGAACATCATGGGCGGTCCAATTGGAGAACCTAATCCAGTATTCATACCGGAAACACCATTCGTAACTTCCGCAGATACCCAAGAACCTCTGACATTGGTTCATAGTCCTAAGACGAAAGAAACACCTTCAAGCAGGATGTCAAACCCATTCGCTCGTTCCTCAAGCTCCAAAAACGTCATACCATCCAACAACACTCTCAACTCATCCGATACAAGAAACGTCTCTGCAAAAAGTGATGTACTCGGTATGATTACTAAACCATTTCCCAGTCCGACCCCTTCCAAGATTGTTACAGAAATTGTCAATCCGTCTAGTCGACCGTCGACTTCTCAGAGTAAGAAAGATACACATGGACATGGACATGGGACACGGTCATCTCGGTTGGGCCAGTGGAAGTAAGAGGGGTTTGAAGAAGAATGAATCTATTGAAATGATTTCTTTAGATAGTAAAATTGGGAATAAAGAAGAGATGGCTGTTGAGAGATGGAGGGTGGGTTTTCTTCTTTCGTCTCATAAGTATCCCTCTTAACCAATGTCTTAATGATTCTGATCAATCGTACCTCTACCCTGGTACACAAATCTTGGTCGGAAATCATCAACTATATAACGCAATCATTACTGCTCAATTTGACATCTATCCCCTTTGACACTTTTCTTGTTTCCTCTCATAAGTATCCCTTTTGCGTCCCATGTCTCTATCATTCTGATCAATCGTTCCTCTACCCTGGTACACAAATCTTGGTCGGAAATCATCAACTATATAACGCAATCATTACTGCTCAATTTGACATCTATCCCCTTTGACACTTGATGAGCTACGTGGGTGAACAGTGGACTGTCGTTGAGATATATACGAGAGAAAGCAAGAGCTCAACGTGTGGTCGAGACTGACAAAAAGGAATGGATCCTCAAACAACCTCCAGAAACACTTACCAACCCTGTTTTACTCCACGAACCCTTATCTCTTTCCTTCTCCTCATCCATCTCTTTTCAACCTTCTCAACTTCTTTCTCCCATCTCACATTCTTCTACTGAACAACCACCTTCTCCTCAATACCTCTCTCCATCAACTGCTCTTTCTCCTCCTACACAATATCTCCGTCGTTCAATAAATCCTCCAGAATCCTCACACACACCAGATACTCCAATCACCACAACAACTCGTCGTCGTTCTCTGTCCAACTCCCTCTTCCCTCACCCTCACTCAAACTCAAATCAACCACTTCGAACCTCTCGTTCTTCCTTTCAAACAGGCATCAATCGCAATATTAATCCCAAAACTTCTATTTCCGTAACTTCTACTCGTTCGAACAGATTGGAAGAACACGTAATATATAATACAGAATCCACACGAGGTTTGCGAGATGTCGAATTGGCTATTGATCCCAATCGTCTCAATACCTCACTCACACAGACTCTCTCCAATTTACCCAGGATCGGAGGGGAAAATGCTTTCGTTCATATTTCAGAGAGAATGGGAAGTAAAAAAGTAAGACCGATAGTATTGGAATTAATTCAGTCTTTAGCACATTTCATCGATTCCGTTTGGTATTTTGAACATCCAGGAGAGGTATGTCCATGGGTACAGCCAGAAATATTCTCAATTCCCCAACACTCAAAATCAATACCCCTCACACTTCCCAATACTTTTCCTACTTTGCCACAAGTACCTGTCGTTGAATCACCACAAGTTTCTACTCTCACGTCATCCAATGTTCAGTTTTCTCCCATCGCCATCGGTCCCATCATTCCTTCTACCACCGCAAGTCAAGTATCTTATCAACAAGCTTCTCAAACATTCCCCTCCATGACACATCAGTCTCATTCCATAAGTGAAGAACCTACTCATTCCGATCCCTCCGATGTGTTAGGACAAAACCATAATTTCAATCCCAACCTATGGTACTCTCGCGCCCTCACAGCAGTCCAGTTTGGTAGACTCTCAGGTCACGTACCCCTATCCCCTACAATAACAGACGTAAAATTTAATTTATCCGAAGTCGAATACGCTTTGGATGATGTGAATCAAACTGTTGGAAATACCCAAAAGGCTACATCTCCATTTATGCGAGCCGTGACAGATGGAGGATTCGGACATGCGACAGTTGAGAATGTTGGTCAAGGGAGAGGAAAGGAAAAAGGGATGTTGAGATTATTGAATGATCTCGAAGAAGTTTTATGGTCTGTTCTTTGTTTATCTCTTACATTTTGAATGATTTCATATGGAAGATACCCTTTCCTCTGCTTTTCCCCTTCTTCCCTCATACGACTTTCCTCTTCCTCTTCTCCCCCTCCTCCTTTTATCCCATGCACCCTCCCCTTCACGCCCCTTTTTTCGAGCTCTAGCTACATACACTCCTCTCTTCTCTCCGCGTGCGTGACGCTTTGGATATCGGATCAAAGAGATCAAAGCTGACAACCAGGGGAGACTCTCCACCACGGAGTACGGACTTCGCTTACGAACTTCCAAAAGATTTTGACCCTTACTCCACCCCCGATCCAGATCGTTTAGATTCATTTCCATCGTCTCAACCTTCCATCCCGTCCAAACCTTCGCAATCTAATCAAACTCTACTTGACCTTTTCTCTCCCACACTCTCCCCCACTTCTCAAAATCATCAAAATACAAACTCAGGAGTTATCCCAATGCCCGAATTGGCAGATTTCCCCGAAGTCGAACTCCCTCTCCTTCATCCTCTTCAAAGTATCAAAGATAAAGGAACGAATGACGATCTTGGTCTAGATCCGTCCGGTGCGTCAGGACTGAGTTTGGAGGAGATAGGAAGAAGGAGACATAGAGCTTGGTTGGAGAGTCTTGAGAAGCAGAGGACATGAAGCTATGTTGGAGTGTCATGGGAAAGAAAGTAGAGGGTGAGGAAATTCACCAGTATGTGAGATTCTAGATTCCCTGAAAGGGAAGAAAAGTAGATCCATTGTCGTACCCTCTACCACTCCGCTCCTCAATCACTTTCTCGATGACGTGACCGACTCGATCGGGGCGATGAATTCCCCGAAGGGGAAATAGGGAAAGCGGTGTATCGATGGCGATGCAGTTCTCACGGCGGACTTTCTTACTGATTTCTGACCTCTGTTCTCAGTCTATGATAATAGTACTGATGAGGGTATGATTACCCTCCCCCTCAAGAACATCTTCATCCACCTCTCATCTCAAACACTTTGAATACTCATCATCTAGATCCTAGAATTCTTCTTTTGTGCAGTGCACCTGTTTTGTAGAACAACACCATGTCTGGCGCCTCTGATAAGACATATCGGGGTGTGATCATCAAGGGGGTACTCCCCGTCAACCAACGAGGTTCTAGCAGACCAGTCTCACAATCTGAAAGCCCCACAATGCAGGCTCGCATCGTATCACGGTTGATTCCCATCATCAAGAAGGAGGGACCGTGGCGTCTGTTAGAAAACGATTATAAGAGGGAGTTTCTTAATCCTGCTGACCATGATGGCAAGACTTTTTCTCAGCTATCAGAGACAGAGAGGAAGATGCCCGATTACATATCAAGCTGGGAGAATGCCACAATGGACAGTCTACCCTCCATAAAAGACATACAGGAGGCAGCTGAGTACAGCAAGAGGACGATCGACGAAGCCTCGACTCTCATCACAAAAAATGATGATATACATGTACTCATCAACATGCCTCTGGCGCAATGGACCGAGGAGCAAAGGCTGTCAGCTCGGCACAAGTTTCACCAGTGTGAGCTAAATCTTAGGCACTACAACATGATCTACCTCACACTCTGCGACTATCATAAAGGTTACACCACAGGTTTCAAGAGTGCCAGTCAGGAGGCACTCGACCACTCAGCGGACCCGGAAAGTGAACTTCCCATACCTGGGGTGACAGCATGGGAAAGGACTACTCTTGTGTGGAGAGTGTTGTCCTCTCGAGCGCATCTTGAGGCTTGGAAACTGCTGGAGACTATAGAAGTGTTTGCCAATTACCTGAGACCCTCACTGTCTGTCACGAACTACGTCGTGACACCTCAATTACTCCACCAACAATGACCCTCCTTTGGCCATCAAAACCCCATCACGCTTTAACCTCTTTACTCTACACGTAACTCAGGACTTCTGACACCAAGTACGGCGAAGTTAGACGGAGTTAGGCTAAGTAGGGACAATGGGAGCAGAAGTACGGCAAAGTTAGACGGAGTTAGGCTAAGTAGGGACAATGGGAGCAGAAGTGCGGCGATGTTAGACGGAGTTAGGCTAAGTAGGGACAATGGGAGCAGAAGTGCGGCGATGTTAGACGGAGTTAGGCTAAGTAGGGACAATGGGAGCAGAAGTGCGGCGATGTTAGGCGGAGTTAGTCGAAGGAGGAAGAGGATGGCCGAGGGCTCGGGGAAGTTGGACGAAGTGCGTTGAAGTACGTCAAAGCGCGAGAGGGTTGGATGAACGTCTAGGAGGAGTAGATAATATTAGCTGAGAAGATCGCTGAAGTTCTTCAGCGATCCTTGATTGTTGTCAGTAGTGAAAAACAGATAGAGATAGCTATATACAATTCGAGATACATCGCCATCAGTAGAACAAAACCCCAGTTAGAGTAACTACGCCGAAGTACGCCGTAGTTACACTCCTTTCGACGTCTGCGCCCTCTCGGTTGGGTGAGACTTCGACTTAGGAGCATCAAGTTAGCCGAGGTTCGTCGACCGTCGGTCTGCCAGAAGATAGTTGTTCGACGCCCGTGACACTGTCTGAAGTTCAAGGCCTTCGAGATGCCCTCTATCAGCGTCTAGACCATGGAGTTGAAACTACACCACCAACAGCTTCAAATCAAGATGATTCAATTCCCAAACAAGAATCAACACGTGAGAAGCAACTTGAAGAAGAGATTATTACCGCAAAAGATAAGGTCACGGCTGCACAAGCTGCAGTGAGGGCAATAGGAAAAGGAAAGATGCAAAAGTACTCCAGGCTCACACTGTTTGAGATGGGTGACAAGCTGAAGGAGCATCAACCCACAGCCACAATTTCCAAGGGAGTAGATGTGCCAAATGCTACACCCTCTGTCATCCCCATTACCACAAAGGGTACTGACCCCCAAAATTCTGTTTGTCCTGTGGTTATACTGAGGGACGGTAGTTATGTAGTGAGATATTTCAACAGCTCTCAAAGCTGTCTGCTTGAGCTCAACAGAGAAGAGCAGAAGGTGGTTGTAGGTGATGCTGGACTTGATTCCTCTGTCATGTCTGATGACATCAACTCACATAGGCAAGCGAGGATTGACTTTGACAACATATGGGAACAAGCCACAGCTGATGGACCACCCGAAGCCTTGGAATGCCTGACTTCTGCTGCCCGTCAAGCAGCACAGAGGCTGGATGCGGCTCAAAGCTCCATTTTTGACAAGATTACTCGTCATCAACGTGAGCTCGATCAAAAAAATTCACAGGGCGAGTTCATAACCGTAAAAGACGTCTACGCTTTCCAGCACAGTGCTGCTATGGTTGACGCTGCATGTGAACACTATGGCATACTTGAGGATGCCTTTCCAAAATTTCTTAGGGAAGCTGAAACATCTTACTTGGAGGCCACAAAGACACTTGAGGGGCTGATGGACAAGGATCCAGATCTACTGGAAGCTACACAGCAGCAGGAAGTCAATGACTATAGCACAGCCTCAAAAATATACATGGCAGCAACCGGAGCCACATTGATACAGACCAGGATCAATGTCAATGATCAGGTGTCCTTCATAAGGCAAACCCGGAAGAACCTGTCCAAGATGCGCACTCATTGTGATGCTGTGCGACACAACCCACAGGATACAGCCCCTTGGGATCCACTAGAAAAGGTGACATTCCAGCCTGACCCAGACTTGGAGCAGAGCTTAAACAATCTAAAGGCAACTTTAGACGAGCTGGAGAGCGCTGGGGGTGAAGCCAATCTTGACTGTGACAAGTTGAAGCAGCTCACATTGTCAACAATCCTGCAGGGCTTACAAGAGAGTGTCCCTGGTGCACAAAGTAGTCCCAAGAAGAAGAAGAAGAAGAAATGAGCCCAATATTGCGGGGTCGCAATGACTGGATGCAGATCCATTGAACTCAACGGATTAGGAAGAGAAGAATGGGATTTGGAGGCAGTGCAGCAATTAGGTAGGGACGGGTTTTCCCCTTTGAGATTTCCCAGCTGGGTTTGCTTGAAAGTGGTTTTTTACCTGTCCGAGTATGTACTTAGACACTTGCAGCAAGAAGGGATGAGGAACGGACACCTGTAGACAGTATATAGTACAAACAGCAAAGTACCAACTGTGCTGATTCTTCAATATCATTCTTTGGCTACATCAATTGCAGAGGAGACATGAGTCATCACATAGCACCAGAGACACATAGAATTCCACATGACTTCCATCGAGTTTGAACCAAATTGCAACTTAATTGTCGTGTTTCCAGTACCGTTACAGCCTAAAACTCTGTCCTCTCCTCTCCTTCCTGGGGGGAAACTCTGAGGAAACCCTGTATCAAACACAGCATTTTAAGCGACCTTACAAAAGGCTCTGAATCATCCTGGAAGCCCCCAGAAGAGACCTTTCATCAATGGTTGAACTGATGAGAAGAAACATGGATAAAGGATCCATGAAATGTGATCCTTTAATACCTGAAACTTCCCCATGCAGTCCAGTTATGCTCTAATCTTTCAGGAGGTCCAGAGGGTGCTTCTTAGGCACCCACATTATGCAGATGTTGACCCAAAAATACCTGGTTCAGTCCTGCAGGTTCAGTAGAGGTTTGAGAGGTTCGAATATATGTCATAAATCTTAAATCTTGGTCCCAGTACAAGCAGTCTATAAAGGGTCTCAGCTCATATCATGAGCTGAGCATTGGACCTTTTAGCACAAGAGCTTAGTGCGCGTCACCCTTTAGGCGTATGCATTACATGTGCTAGGTTGTGTTCCCTCTGCCATCAATGTAGCCAAAGAATGATATTGAAGAATCAGCAAAGTTGGTACATTGCTTATTACAACTATATACTGTCACGAAGTGACAAGACAGTTTGGTTAGAGTTGGATGGGTTGGGTATTTAACCAGCGACCAACGGTTACGCTTACCCGCCGGTTAATAGGCCTTTTAGCACTGTGGTTTAGGCCACTGTCTCTGAAGGGCACTGTTACATCGTCCCAATGCTGGTTAGTTGGTCTCGTGACATATACTTTCCCCTTGTATGTTAATTTACTTGTTCCCTGCTGCAAGCAACTATGTACATACTTGGACAGGTGAAAACCTCTTCGAGCAAAACCCAATTGGGAACGTCTCAAATGAGGAAATCCCGTCCCTACCTGATGCAGCCATCTCTGTATCTTGTCACGAACTACGTCGTAACATCCCTGACAACCACCATCACCAACCCTCCTTTCACCATCACCGACCTTCCTTTCACCACTACCAACCTCCACTCGAACCACTGAGACCAACTACGGCTAAGTTACGAGAACCAAGAGGGGATTTGTCACGATAACCCCGCCTAGCGGGGAACTACGGCGAAGTTAGGGGAAGGGAACCGAGGGAGAGCAGAACAGGGGAAGTTAGGCGAAGTTAGTCAAAGTGAGCGGAGTAGGATATCGGGGATATGGCGAGGTACGGCGAAGTTGAACGAAGAGGACTGAGCGTGAGGCAGTGCAGGAGTTGAGGGACATTCTACGAGAAGAGAAGAGTAGTATAGATAGTTTACAGATCGCTGAACTTCTTCAGCGATCCTTGATTGTTGTCAGTAGCGAGAGATATATTCAGTAGCTACAACCTTCGAGTTAAGGAGAGCTACCACCGAGCAGTTCAACGTACTACGGCGAAGTTAGCCGTAGTTCATCGACAATCATCTTATCATTCACCACTCGACGTATTACTACGGCGAAGTTAGCCGTAGTTCCTTGACGAGTACCCTGTCTTAGTGAGACATCGACGCCCCACTACGACGTAGTTAGCCGAGGTTTGTCGACCGTCGGTCAGTAGAGAAGAAGAAACGACGATTGTGACAGTATCAAGGATCGCTCTTACCGACGACCCGTGCAAACCTCGGAGAAGTTCGAGATTGTATGCAGCCAGAGAGGAGAGTTACAAGAAGTATGAGTAGACCAGGAGAAACAGTAGAGGAGACGGAGAGGAGGATGTTGGAGGAATTAAGACAAAGCTTGGGACCATTGCCTGGTGCAATTGATACCCCCGAAGGATCAACTCAAGGCGATGATTTCTATCCACCCCTGCCTTTTGAACCACCTCCCCAACAAACCGGACTACCAGAACCACCAGCGGTGAGGACAGGTTCCGAAGATTCGGGACAGACCCCACGACCAAGGGAAGGGAACACAGGAGGTAGGCTAAGTCGGCCGGAGCGAATAG